TTGACCTGACCTTCGCTACGCAACCCAAGGTCAAACTGATGTGATCAGTAAATACATCTTTTTAAACGCCACAACTTTTGTCTGAAACATTTTTTTGTAAAACTTATATTTTTCCTGATATTCGGGCGTCCCGGTACTTTCCGAACACCCTGTATAGTTGATTTCTTGTATTCGTAGGATTCAACATTAAAAATGTTGAAAGTTATTATATAAAACAATATATTTTTTATTGTTTTGTTCACATAAGGAATATCTACATAGTATTATATTCATTACGATACATGTTCTTTCGTTAAGAGAACTGCGTCAGATAGGCCAGATAGATTACACACAATATAATTTTCTGAGAAATTTATGATATTTTACCGTTTTCTATCGGCATTTTTAAGCAGGATTTAGTAAGCCTATGCAGTGAACCGAGTTATTTACAACATGTCGGTCAATATGTATACCCAGACAGCACACAACGTCCAATGGACGTCCAATTTTAGTTTTTATTTAGTCCCATGGACCTAATATGGACGTTTTAATTACGTCCATTAGTGGATGTACAAAATACGTTGACTTTTGTACGTTTTAAAGACGTCCACTTTATGTATTTCTAAGGAACATATATTGAGCTCGCATATGCCTTTATTTATTAATAGTATAAACCGGTTTCACCAACACGAATGAATTTAAACAATCAATTAAATTTATCTTTTCTATTGGAACAATTGTATCTGTCATACGATGATGTGACTGGTTAGTTCCATCAAAAAAATTATCATTACGAAAATTTTTTTTGAAAATTGCGAACAAATTAACCCCTCAATTTTTATATTATTAATAAGGAACCCAACTAGCAAAACAATAAAAACATTTAAATATTTAAAAACATTTTAAAAACATTCAAGAAACATTTTTTAAAAAGTTAAAAATAATGGGATAAGTTCCCATTTTTCATTAAAAAAACATTTTTTTAACGTTTGAAAAAATGTTTCCTTTTTTAATATTTAATAGAAGTTTGATATTCATTAAATATTAAAAAAAAACATAACATTTTTCTAATCCGTTAAGGAAAACATTTCTTAATGAAAAAAGAGAATTTTCTAGACAGCACACAATATTTATGATAAAGATTCATCAATATTAAGGTCGAATTATTTTTTAAAAATTAATATTTTATTTATATAAATATTTTATAAATATTTCTATATATAAAGAAAAAAGTATCAAAATCTTTATTCAAAATATTATTAAAATATAGGCTAAATATTTTATACAATATTTATAGTAAACAAAAAATAAATATTTGTAGTAATATTTTGTAAATATTTCTACAAATAGTATACATAATAAATGTAATTATTTAAAAAAATAAATTTAAAAAATTTAAATAAAAAAAAATGTAATTATTTATAATTATTAAATTGGTGAAAAAATAATAAAATCAAATTTAAATTGGTAATATATACTGGAAAAATTCTTTAAATTAAAAAAACATATTTTGTTAAATATAATTTCTTAACTTAAAAAAGTATTGTTAGATTTTAGAAAATATGTAATAAAGTAATATTTTTTTAAACTTGTGAAATGAGCTGTAAAATTATAAATTTCTAGAAAAAATGACTTTCTTACAAAAAAAAAAATTAGTTTTTTTTTTTATATAAGAACTATATTAAAATAAATATTTGCTTGTTTTAAAAATAAATAAAGTACAAATAAATTATTTTATAAATCTAAATAAATTATTTTCTAATATTAAAAGTATCTTTTTTGTGTTTTAAATTAAATAACAGTGAGATTTTATACGGAACATAAGGAGCAAGCACAGATGTCTTAGTGCTATTAAATACTAATATTACTTTTTAATATTAATATGATTGTGGGAGGATAAAATTGTGCAATATGTTAAATGCACGTATCGAATTTTTTTCTTCGATTATCGTACGCGGAGAATCAACCTTCCATACTTAGACCGATCCTTGAGTCCCAATTTTTATATATATATTTTTTTTATTAAAATCCCAAACCCCATTAAACCGACGACTCAAATAGATTCATTATACAGGGTGTTCGGAAAGTACCGGGACGCCCGAATATCAGGAAAAATATAAGTTTTACAAAAAAATGTTTCAGACAAAAGTTGTGGCGTTTAAAAAGATGTATTTACTGATCACATCAGTTTGACCTTGGGTTGCGTAGCGAAGGTCAGGTCAAGGT